TGAAAAGTAGGAAAAGAGTTGGTCATGAGCCTTAACTCATAGCAAATTTATCCATAAAATTTTAAACCTTCGTTTTAAAACACCTTCATTTGTCTCATTAAGAAATGCATTTCAAATATTTTAGAATTCTACATCAAGACAATATATTCTGACACTATGATGAAATATGTACTAACAATAATTGTAATGATGCAAAATGTTTTTGTAAATTAATAGCCTCATGGTCACAGAAAATAAATTTTAATTTTTGTTACAGATGATCCAAAGTAAGACATGATTTACAATATTACATTAGGATAAAATTCTGTGAGGGAAGTGGACTAGAAACATGAATTTGAATAGAAAAAATGTTGTAAAATTTCCAACTGGCAAAGAGCTTTGTTCATGCACCTTTAAAAGTGAATGATAGTGGGTTCCCTTGGATATTTTTATGAGCTAATTTTTATCCTGAAATTCATTGTTGACAATTATGCACGTTACAACTTAAACATAAAAATTTAGTCGTCAAACTTAAAATGTGTGAAGGGATGTATAAGTTTTCTCGAATTCTTTTCAGGGTTACACCGGCAAAAGCGTGGCCAGTGTAGCCGTGACAGCTCCAGTCCCCTTTCTGCGCGGCGCCTGCTAGTGTCACCCCGGCCTCCGTTTTCCTTGTTTAATATTATCCATACCTCGACAAGCACTAACTCCCTTGATTCCTTGCAGGACAATGTAGAGCGTAAGTTATTAAAACGTAGTTCAGGTTTCAATAACAAACCTACCAGGCAGCGTCACCTGTGAGAACAGACTCGAGGGGCCACTTGCGCGAGGTCTCACCACTGGGACAGCTGTTTCTTACCTCCCCACTTGCTCAGAGTCATGTGGGCTCATCCCCAGCCACGAACACAAACCTCCGATTTTTCGTTTTGTCTATTTTAGAATTGTTCCATTTGCCACCTTTTCACACTGTCACTCATTTTCTAACAGCGACTCCAGCCAGTTTACAGACGCAACAGGACGCGTAAAGACGTTTATATTTGTAGGTAAGGCTGCCCTCCGACTTCGAGAAAGCCACTTTTGCTGCTGCTGTTTGCTTTTTCCACACCCAGTTCCCCCCGTCTTGCCAGCAATTCGCATGTGACGCAGGATAGGAGCCCCCTGCGTGCTCGCCCGACCGCGCTCAGCACCCAGCGTGCTGTTCAGTGTGCTACATGCCGCCGCCACTGTCAACTTCCAGCCAGGAGCCAATCAGAACTAAGTGACATTATGTTCGCTTCCCTGAACCCGCTCGTTTGTATGTTGAAGATGCTTTAAGCATGTAACATAAAGACACCTTGTAAACAAGGTCAGGTCAGGATATTTTAAGTTTACAAATGGTAAACTCATCATTAAAAATCACTTTGAGAGATTCAGTGATTTGACAGTGGAATTGCGTTTACTCCTTTAAAAGACTGTAACGGAGGCCGGCGCGGCGGCTCACGCCCGCAATCCCAGCACTCTGGGAGGCCGAGCTACTCGGGAGGCTGAGGCAGGAGGATCGCTTGAGCCCAGGAGTTTGAGGTTGCTGTGAGCTAGGATGACGCCACGGCACTCTAGCCCGGGCAA